ACTTTTTCATTATAAATATAATGTATTCAATTATTTTCATATAATTATCTTTTTTTAAAATTTCCGTCTAAATATAAAAGCATGTTTTTCCTAAAATTCTCAGTTTTTGTAATTGCTGTGATTATAGCATTCCTTTCTACTTTTAATTTTTCACATTCAGTTAATACATGTATTTTATTGAAGTTATATTTTTTTACATATGGGACACAGGTATATCCCTTATCATGTGTCTTATTAGAGCGACTTCCACGGTTAGCCATGTATTGTGCAAATATTTAAATATTATACTTTGTATTTTTTACGAGTTTATTTGTCCCCGATTTTTTCATATTACTTCCCAGTTTACCCCCCTTCTATTTAATTTTCTATTTTACTTCTGTTATTATTTGCACTTATATCTCTTATTTTTCCATATGTATCTTTCTTATTAATTTTCCAAATTTCCCTATCCTCTCTGTATTTAAACATTAGCATTTTTACATATCCTAATTTCCTTGGTACTTCTAATAGTCTACTTAAATTGTTATTTTTATAAATATCTAGCCTATTTTTCATAATTAGCCCATACCAGAAAATATACAGTGCCTTCCAAAGTATATTGGGTTTAGATTTTAGAGTTTTAAAACGGTTTAAAATATTATTATGCTTTATTAAAATTGGTTCTGGTAAATTTAGACCTCCTCTATTTTTTGACTTATATAATGTCTCTTTTTTGAATGTAGTGGGTTCCATAACCCCATATGTATTTAATGATAGCTATGTATATATACAGTGCCTTCCAAGGTATATTGGGTTTAGATTTTAGAGTTTTAAAACGGTTTAAAATATTATTATGCTTTATTAAAATTGGGTTGGGTAAATTTAGACCTCCTCTATTGTTTGACTTTTACATCGTCTCTTTTTGAACGTAGTGGGTTCCATAACGCCATATGTATTTAATGATAGCTATGTCTATTTTCTCTGATTAGTTATTATTTAAGTCATTTGATTTAATAATATAATTAATATTGGAATATAAATATGTTTTCGGTACTTGTGCATACTCCATTATACATAACGGCGTTAGCGCTCAGATATCTGTGTAGTTTTTAAATTGTTTTCAATTTTTTGTTTAAAGTGTTCTTCTTCTTCATTTGTTCCAAAAATTACCTAGTGTCTTTACTCTATTTTTTACGTAGTTTGGGGGCAGACCAGGGTGATTGCCTTTCCATTTACCTATTTTGAGTAGTTCGGTTTTATCATGGTTAATTTTTGATCCCAATGCTTTTCCAAAATTTATATGCTCTTTTTCTAAGTGTTTAAAAGAGTTCGGGTCTTTAATAAAGTTGTGCAATCAGCATGTTGGAGTATTTTAATTTCATCTTTTAAATTTAGTAATTTTATTCCTTCTATGAGTTTGTTATTTCTTATTTTTATACTTTATAATCATTTTGCAAGCCATCAATTTCATTGATGTTGATTCCCCTTACGTTTAGTGCAGTCCGTATTTCGGCTTGTCAGGGACATTCCGATAAACTGACATCATGGGGGTAATAGGTTAGGCCTTCTATAGTTTTCTACTCCCTCCGTCTCTGTTCTGAAAAACGCATTCAGCTTTGTTCCACTCGGCTGAATTTTCTGTGTCCGTATTTGGTTTATTACTATTCTCTGAATTGTGTTCCCTCTGTTTAATATTCTTCTAGGTACTTCTAGCCCCACTTAGCAGGTTAAAAAACATACAAAAAACAAATTTACACAATTCCTGATTCTAGCTAGTAAACCCAAATTTTGCACTGAATCCGTTATCCTACAAGGACTATACAGAAAACAAATTTACACAAAATGAGCAAACATAAAATATTGCTCAAATGAAATAAAAGAAAAATGTGTAAAAATATTAATCAAAAATGTGAAAAATTATTACCAGTTTTTCTGAAAACTTTCGCGTAAAACCAAACAACCTCAATATATGACAATCCTTGTTTGTTCAGAACTATTAATTGATAATAGAATATTGTAGTGCTTTGCACATGAGTAGGATCATAATCCGTCCATTCATCCATCCTTCCATCCATCCATCCATCCATCCATCCATCCATCCATCCATCCATCCATCCATCCATCCATCCATCCATCCATCCATCCATCCATCCATCCATCCATTATGCAACATCAAGTTCTTGTATTTTTTTTGTACATGTAATTTGATAATGAGTTTACTGTTGCTGTAAGAATACAAGTCGCACTTAAATTTTAGACAATAGGGGTTCATATCGTTAATGTACCAATAAATATTTCTTTCAAATAACAACACCAATAACAACAACAACAACCATCCTTGAATGTAAACTATCAAGTTATCTAAATTTACAAATTAAAGACTTATTCACTGATTCAACATCATTATTGAGAAAAGAGGAAACCAGTTCTTAGACTCAGAAGGAATGGTAGTGCTCTCCGATGTTCGTAGCAATGGAGGGATTAGGGAACCAGACCAGAAGGAAGGGTAGTACTATCCGATGTTCGTAGTAAAGGAAGGATTAGGGAACCAGGCCAGAAGGAAGGGTAGTACTCTCCTACGTTCATAGCAATGGAAGGATTAGGGAACCAATCCAGAAGGAATGGTAGTACAATCCTACGTTCGTAGCAAAGGAAGGATTAGGGAACCAGTCCCACAGAGAGCTCGGTCAAAGGGAAGGGAGTATAATTCTAACCAAGCTACATGGGTAAAGAAACTATAATACATCTGATAGAACGAACCAAAGATTAACCATGTCACAATTCGAAGGACATGGATACATATACCAAAACAAATTTAGAAACAATGGGTGTTACTTACAAATCCTAACCAGTTTCCTATGCTGGTAAAGGACTACGAGGTGTCAACAATAGTAATAGAAAGAAAATAATGGGTTAATGAAAGTTTTTATTTATACCAATAATACATTTTGAATAAAATCAATGAATTTTAAATAGTCGTTAGTATGTAAATTGGTTAAATGGGAGATAACTGTCGGATACAACATGTGATGAATTCATCGGGTAGGTAGTTTGTATTAGTGTACAGTTCGATCTAATATAATACTGTAATATTTGGCAATGGGTAGATTAAGAAGTTATTATCATTCACAATGCATTTATTTGAGAGTGGTATGGACTGAAAAACGGAGAACGGGGAATAGGAAAGACTCTTTTTTTTAAGATGCTCTACTTTAATAGAATTTATGAATATTTAGCATCGTACGGTAGATATACTACTGATTAATATGTTTCCTTAATTTGCTCTCATTAAGAGAACAATTGATTGAATACCGGTTTACAAAAATGATAGACTGAAATCAGATTACAGATTAGGTAAAACGTCATTTGAAGTGCCGCTTTCTTGCTACCACCAAGGACTTATGCAATGCCGATAATTATTCTTTAATTAGTTATCATAATCTTCATTTGATTTCTTTTTTTTTTCTTCACATTAATAGACATCTAGTGATTTCTAAGTATATAATAGGAAATGGAAGTAGTAATATCATTAGAATTTTCATCGACATGTCTTTACTCGCTTATAATAATAATAATAATAATAATAATAATAATAATAATAATAATAATAATAATAATAATAATAATGATGATGATGATGATGATGATGATGATGATGATGATGATGATAATAATAATAATAATAATAATAATAATAATAATAATAATAATAATAATAATAATAATGGCGGCATTGTATAGCGCCTAATATTTAGAAGCTCTAAGCGCTGTACAACATTTGACAACACTTAAAAAACATATATAATGATAAGATTACAAAAAAAACCCCAAACAACACGAAATTAGATAACAGAAAATATGCTGTAGCTATTTAAAGTACGGAAACATTAGGTCTTTAAATCTATTGTTGCAGTTGGAATAGGTGAGTTTTAAGAGTGCTATTGAATGCGATCACCGTGTCTTTGTGTCTAAGTTCAGTGGACAATTTGTTGCACATTGCTAGTCCCTTGTATGCAACAGAACGTTTTCCATATGATTTCGTTTGCATATTGGGATTAATGAGAATACTAGGGTGAGAAGAGGAGCGTAAGCATCTTGCTGGTGTGTACATAGGGTGAAATCGCATAGGTATATTGGACTAGAGCCCATCAACGAAAAAATAACATAGAGAACAGAAGTTGTGTTTAATTCTGGATCGAATGGATTGTCAGTGTACGGTCCAGAGCAGGGGATGCGTGCTCTGATCGTGGGACTCTAATGATGATCAGAGAAGCTGTGTTTTGAACTTTTTTTGAAATAGATATTCTGGAGCAGATATTGAGACGAAGGAGACATAAGACCAGTCCAACTGTCAACGTCGCAGAGATAAACCTTGATCTGCATGTGCATTCTGAAATGGCATATCTGGATATATGTTGGTTGCAGTAGGACTCAACTTTAGATGAAAATTGTTATAAATAAAAATAAAACCGATATCTTTTGCTTTTTACGTTTTTCATATTTGCTAATTCATTCATCGCACTTTCAGAAACTAGTTATGTCTAGCCTAGCAAAATTTATTTTCCATATTTTATTAACTGCAAAAGATAGCATTCTTTGACTAATTCGGGCTGATTATTCGAGCAAGCTGGAGCGGTCATTATGGTTGTCTATCAGCTTTGATCATGCACAACTTTCACAAGTACAGTATCAAAGGAAATTTCAGCTACTTTATACGAAAATAAAAAATGTGTGTCAATGTTCTGTACATTGTGCATCTTGTAAATACAAAAAAACCTTTATCTTACACGTGTCACTCTCTCAGAAGTTCATAATATCTGTGTAATTTCCGGACTTCACGTTGTTTGTCAGATACATGGACTTTACAAAGAACATAGGTGAGCAAAACTTAGCGTTAGTTATTGGCCATTGCATGGTCAACTTTTGGGAACATGGGGCGTTTTTTGGAATTTTGCAAATGTCCAGACATTGTTGGTAAAGGTGATTAAGTATTGGTTCCAACTCTAGAGAGACTGCTCCCTTTGCCCTAGTGGTTAGAGAATCCGCTTCAGATGCGGGAGGTCGTTGGTTCGAATCCCGACCGAGTCATACAAAGTCTTATAAATTGGTATAAATAGCTGCCTCGCTATATGCTCAGCTTGAAGAGGTTAGTGTTAGGACTGGTCGGCCTGGTGTCAGGATAACGTGTCTTGTTAGGACTTAATGCTACATGTCTGCGGCATGATGCCCCCAGTTTGTATTTTTTTAGATTTTTCAAAATTAAAATTAGTAAAATTTTTAAATCTTTGTGAACAAATTATTTTAGGCTATACATATTTGTCCTCAGAAAAGACTTAAAACTCAGAAACTAGACAAAATGACTTAACATGAACACTAAATAATAATAATAATAATAATAATAATAATAATAATAATAATAATAATAATAATAATAATAATAATAATAATAATAATAATAATAATAATAATAATAATAGTGGCTAGTAGACTGTATCCTAATTACGATCACATTTTACATTTTGTCTTCATTTATATAGTAACAATAGAAGCAAAAAAACACAATATGTATCGGATTCTGTTTTGACAAATGCGTTAATATCCGCAGGGGGTAGTCGGGGTGTGATAGATGAATAAAATGCGTGGTTATTTTACATTTGGAGACATAGAATTAGAGTGAATAATAATAATAATAATAATAATAATAATAATAATAATAATAATAATAATAATAATAATAATAATAAAAATAATGATAATAATAATAATAATAATAATAATAATAATAATAATAATAATAATAATAATAATAATAATAATTGTTAGTAGTATTATAATATTAGCAGTCAAAAAAACAAAGAATTATGTTTAAAATCTCACAACTTCGTTAGCAGCAGTTTCTAAATGGGATAAAATGAAACAACACATACGCCGACAATTTTCGGTGCAACTAGTTTCGCATTTAATGTATGCTTCTTTAGACACAAACTGTTTTGAAAGAAACGGCTGGAGTCTTTATTTAAAAAGACAATTACGTCGTTACGTAACGACATAAATGATAAGCATCATCATAACAATTTTGTATATATAATTGACAGGATGGGAAAGACACGTGTCTCTTAAGAATCCTGTATCATTAAAATAATAAAATAAAATAGCGAAAATCAGTCACTCATATAATTATATTGTTGTAAAGGATATACAATTTATCATTTTATACCAATGCACTATATAAAATTCTATAAATATTTTTTTTTTCAATTTGATAAATTGTATAGCCTTTATAACAATATAATTATATGTGTGACTGTTTTGTCTCTATTTTATTTTATTATTTTACTTTAGCAGCAATTTAGCAACACGAGCCTTTGGCGCATTTTTACATTCACGCGGATTCATTCTAATGCAGCCGTATACTAATGCAGTCTCCCAGAAAGATTAATTTAGATACTCGGAATAACTTCTATGTTTTGCATCTTCTTATAAAATGTATTGTTTATTGTTCCATCAATGCAAAACAAGATGTTTCAAAGTTGTGACGAAGGTGTAAAATAGTGACAACAAGCTAACTGGTTAGGTAGATAAGATCTAAATATAGCTATTAAAACACGAACATACATACACTCGCTAATAGGCCTTTCTCTCCATTTGATAATCTAACCCCGGATGGACCAAGGATCCCTCTTTACAGATCATTCACACATCTCACCGCTGTCCGCGCGAGTGACAATATTGTCTCGACTATGGTGGATGTCTGAGAAAACTTGCCAAAACCTCTCATGGGACTGTGACTCTTCACGGAGTCTTTCCGGATTCTTCCTCCTATACTGGCCGCCATGTATATGCTATAATGTGCTGAGAAATGGCGTTAAATCCCACACGACAAGACGATTACATACCCAACCTACACCTGAGAAATGGCGATAAACTCCACAAGACAAGACGATTCGATACCAAACCTAGACCTCACGGACACAAAACTTTCGCATATTGTCAGCCCTGTTTAATATAATTGTGAGACGGGACTCTTCCGATAATAAATCAGATGGTCCAGAATGCGTACGTAGTGATATGTCCTTTTAAGAAGAACCATCTCTGTCGCAAGAAACAACATAGTGACTTGACTTGTTTATTTCTTCGTTCTACTTTTCTTCCGAAAAGAATTTAAATGGAAAGATTTGGCATTACAATTTGGTGTTTTAATAAATTAAGAATGTATTTTTAAGATATTCATAAATGTCGAGGTTATATATATATATATATATATATATATATATATATATATATATATATATATATATATATATATATATATATATATATATATATATATATATATATATATATGGAGGAATTTACGAGAGTATCTGCAATTAAGACCTTGAGAAATGGAAAAATAACGGTAGAAGACATTCCAATAACAAACCAAACTTTTATCAATCGTATCAGTGAAGCCAAGATATAATTTACGATGATGGTGCAGCTCATGTATGGTCAACGTTCAGTTGCACGCGTTGGCTTTGTCGATGCTACAATGAATGAACGAGTAGCAACAATCATTGCTATGATCTGTTTGCACGGCAAAATGAAAATATGTATCATACAGAATCTCTATACTACGAAATGAAAACTCTTGCGTTGAAATTGAAGAACACCGATGAAATAGGCGCTGATGAAGGTGATTAAATCAATGATGAACTATTACTCAATGATTGCTTTACCTTGCCATCAGTCGCCGCACATGCTACTCAGGAGAGAAATTCATGGAAGCCAACACAATTAGAATTTCTCGAAAGATATCCAACGCAGATGTATCGAATACGGACATATCGGATTAAAGAATACTAATTACGATCATAAATATATAATATCAGTTGATATGGTTACATGTTATCCTGGAAGTTTTCTTGGATGCGGAGAATGTTCTTAATATTTGAAAAGATGCAAAATTTGTAAACTCACAAATTTCATATAAATATCTTACAGTTAAATTACTTGGCACTGGTTATTTTGAAGAAGAGTCACGTTGTTGTATTGATATATGTTTCTTTGTGATCGCGCTAATGGTTTTTGTGGAAGTTCGTGGGAGTTGCAGGAGTAATTTCATTATTTAACGCAGCTATCACACTTGGTAGTCTTCCGACCCATTCACGAGATCTTTTATATGTGGATATTTCCTTTGCATTTTGATATCCATACAATCTACCAGCAAGTTTTCAATTAAATCGCTCAATGATTGCAATGAACTGCGGTATGTCATCATCTGATTTTGACATCATGTTCTTTCATCAGAGATTATATTGCGTTAAGAAATTCTTTGCCAGGATCGACCTGTAGTAGCTGTGTCCATCGTAGACCACATTGAGGTCCGGATCCTCGTTGATAAATTTGTTCAAAAGCAGATGCAACTTCAGTTGCTATTTTTCTTAATAGTGTATCTGTTTCTTTATATCTACCTGAAACTTAAAATAGTGTCAACGTATATTTGTATGTGCATGATTGACGTCTACGTGTTTTAATAGCAACATGTGGTAAAAATAAAATTTCTGGCAGATGAACGTTATTGGAAACGCTGTCATCAATTACTGATTTTTTTTAAACGGCGGTAGTCAAATTTGCCATACTTCCTGTCGTCCTAACAAATCTTCAGTAACAGAACGTGTGACATTTGCTGCTTCATCAAGTTTAGTAATCGCTGCTCTGCCCCTCCAATATCCTCTTAGCCTATAATAAATCGATTCCACTATAATAGTAATCTATGATTACCTACCAATCACTGGCATCAGTTTACCTTTCATCGCAGATTTTACTAGGAAGCTAGCAAGTTTTTATCTGAGTGAATTATCTTTATGGAATTCAACATATGAATCAACTTCATATCTGCAATATGTCGTTGTTGCAAACTTTTATTTTTATACGCACTACCATGAATGTGGCATGCTTGATCAATCTACGGGTCTTGTTTGGTCTCGTTCGTCAAGTCGGATATCAAGTCCGGCTACAGGATCACGATAATTATATTTAGGATAGTGTTTTACTCCTGGGTATTTAGTTCCTGGAGTCCTTGGTAATTTTCCAGTGAAGCAGCGATATCACCACCAGTCTTCGTACGATAAAAAATAAGTCTGTATTGGTTTTACCACATTCTACACACCTTCCTGTAAGCATACGCTTTTTAATTTTTGTTATTATTGTTGTTAATCCACTAATGAGAGTGTATATACTGCATCGAAGACAATATAAATTCATATATATTTGTACAACATAGATGTTACTGACTTCTCACCTACACGAAAGCAGGAGCCGATCAAGCATCATGCAGCGCTACTCAATTCTATTAGAGCAATTATACTAGGTCAATCTGAGTTTGGTAAGACGCAATTATTGCTTAATCTGATAATGAGATGGTTCATGTGGGATTAATTGTGCTTGGTGTCACCATCTGTAGATGTTCAGCGATGCTACGATGTGATTAGAGATTTTAAAAAGAAGCGAAGTCGTTGGATGAAGATGAATATGATAATGATATCATGGACTTTGTCACCGATATTGATGAAGCTCCATCTGTGGATGATATCGATGGACGTAATAATAATCTTGTAGTATATGATGATGCGATGCTGAACAAAGAATCAAATCCAGCACGGATATTTTCCAGAGGCAGACAAAAACACAGATATTATAAACACACACACACTCATATATATATATATATATATATATATATATATATATATATATATATATATATATATATATATATATATATATATATATATATATATATATATATATATATATATATATACAAACACCTAAAGTTATCAGAGACAATTGTAATCATTTCGCTGTGTTCAATGGAGTCGATACAAATAGTCTGCGAAACATCCATCAGGGGATATGGATATGATTAAATTCAAAAATTTCTGTTTTTAAAGCACAAGCTACCCGACAAGGATTTATCACGTTAATTTTGCATGATCATCGCTCGCGATGAATGTAGGTCTGTATAAAATTTGGATTAATAAACATAGCAGCAGGGAGGGCGACGACATTGAATGATTGAGCGCCTAAGTAAACAAACAAGC